AGGGATTGGTGTACGATGACAGCAGTACCGGCATGTGCTCTACCGTCAGGATGGTCAGTACGGTATGTTATATACTGTGGGATTTTTAAATGCTGTTTTATGGTCAGTCGAGTTTCTGTAATTAGGGCTACGTCAATCTTCTTGTCTTGTAGTAAAGCTGTTAGTCCGTCAACATGATTTCTAACACCATTCGCATTCCAAAGGAGAATGGACATGGGTTTTGGGATGTGAGTCATTAAGGATTTTTTAAAGGAGAGATGAGGTGAGATACGAGATTTGTAAGGAGTGATATGAGTGGAGTAACTAGGGATTTGAAATCGGTGAGGAAAGATGCTAACAAACTGGTGAGATCTGTTGCATTTGAAGGAGGAGGAATTTGAGGTTGTTGATGATTATGTGTGTTAGAATGAACAGAATATTGAGATTGGGGCTGAGGTAGTTGCTTGACATGTATTATTTGGGTTCTTACCTCCAAGTAGTTCGGAGTATGAAAATTATTATTAACAATTCTAGAAGGTTCTCTTCTTAGTCTGGTTGTCTCATCTTGAATCCGGTTATTCTGGTATCTGGATTTGAGGCTCTTATAGGTTTGGCAGCCTCTGTAGTTGGACGGGTGTCCCTCCTGGCATAGTGCACACACTGCAGGATGTTGTATCGGTTTAGTGCACTCCACAGATTTGTGCTGTTCACCCCATTTCACGCAACGTGGCAGATGGTGACAATAAGTTTTCGTGTGGCCATACGCCTGGCAATTGTGGCACTGCACAATTTCCTTCTTGCGGTATGGCTTCTCTATCTTCACGATAGTGTAGTACAATCTCTTGATATCATATATTTTCTCAATACCAGGTGATGGCTCTAGATCCACGAAAAATAAAGGTAGTGGAACTTTATTACTTACTCCTGGCTGTTCCTTATTCTCCTTCAGAACGTTGGTTACCTGACGCACTTTGAAACTAAGCGTTGCTAGTTCTTCTTTTGTCACTTCAGTTCGGGTTGAGGAGTGTAAATTTCTTACCGCCACTCGTAGCGATCTCTCCTGTTTCAGCTGGTACGTATGGAAATTTGCATTCTTTTCTGACAGGTACTTCACAATTTTTCGGTAGGTTTCTGCAGTATCTGGTGTTATTTTTGTATCGTTGGTCCTGTTGAGGCAAGAATAACTGCCGGAGCAGATTTCGTTTAGTTGTGTACACAGTAGTTGGAATTTTTTTACAAATATCAGAGAAGGCCTTGGTTCCCTGGGTATTGCTGCTGACTCCATTACTTCTCTGTCATTATGAAGCACTTGGAACGGGTTTGGAGTGAAGAAAGGAGATTCTTCAACCATTTCTTGCGAAGAGGTATCTGGTTGAGGCTGAAGTTCAGGACCTGAAGTTTTCACTGTTGTTATTGGAGCTATTTCTCGCAGGCAGCGACGAGTTCTTGTTTCGCTGGTGAATCACGAGGGGTACTAACACCGTCTGACCGAGTCCTTTTAGTGGGCACCTTACTGGACATCACTTACCGACAATGCCGCATATCATAAGAGAAAAAAAATTAAAATAAATAAACAAATATTAAAAATTTAAAAAAAAAAAAAAATGTAGCAAACAGTAAATAACAACTGCTGTGGTGTACACTTCAACTGTATTCAGTAAATAATCAAAGAGATTCCACTGAAAAATAGGCAATAACTGAGAGATTTCAGAATACGACCTTTGCATCAGCTAATCCACTGCCTTCAGAGATAAATTAGTAAACAAACCTATGACCTATGGACACAGGAGGATTAATGCCAACGTAAACAGAGCTTGTGAGTCATAGTGTGCAAATACTTTTTTCCAAGCACTTTTATTGTTTTAATTTTTTTGTTTCATTATGGAGTGTTGTCATTTTTTTCCAAAAGGTTTTTCTCAGTTTTTAACAAATTTACTTTTCATTTTTGTAGAGGAAAGCAAAGTTTTTTGGTTCCTTGAACTCATTTATTCATAAAAACATGATGTGCAAATACTTATTTCCATCACTGTACATATGTCCATCAAGAAACAAAAACAAATTGAACTAGATTTATTTTCCTGAAAATTGATCAAAGAAAATGAGTACGATTTATTCGATAAACTAAAGCAATGTAAACCGCTTTAAAATAGATCAGTGTAAAAATTTCAATACCCTCTAATATTTCAGTTTCTGTTAAAAGTAGAAGAAATAGTGAAGCTTGTGTGATGCAGGCAACAGATTTTCTTACTTTCACTTAGTTATCTTTTTTCTCTCATTCACCCCTTTCTCACACCAAGATATGACTTTGTTAATAGTTGTCCGAAATGAACAATTTTTATATGGCTTTCATACAGTTTATCAAAATCATTGGAGCCGTTTTTGCGCTACAGTCTATAGCAGAACATGTTTTTCATTTATTGCGCATGGAGCATCCAATTTGTGTCACAGGATTCAGTAGTCAGAATCCTACAAAATAAAAAAAGAAGCAACAAAATCAGTTCAGTAGTTCCTGAGAAAATCTTGGCACAGACCAATGGATAAAAATGTGTTTTTCGGACTCAGTGGGCTCTGAAACGTACAGATCCGTCAAAAACCGCATATCGGAAATTCGACCCAAATTGCAATACTTTCCTTACCTAGTATAGGTAGGAAAGTAATAAATTAAAATATAAAATAGAATATGGTGCATCATCGCTAATACTGGTTCGATTCCAATGATTTATTTTTTTTTTTTTGTTTTGTTGGTAATTTAATTGCATTTCAAAAGTTTTATTATAAATTTTACCATAGAATATACACTTAGTGAGTTAGGCCCCAAAACATTTTTCTTTTCTTAATAACTTTTTCCCCTGTATTTTATCGGGAATGTAGTCCATATACGGAAATTGAAAGGACAATTATTAGAACATTATAGGAAAGTTTCATCAAAATCGTTGGAGCCGTTTTTGCACAATAGTTTATAGAAAAACATGTTTTTCATTTATTGGGCAGCAGCTATTGCACGCATGGAGCATCCAATTTTTGTCATAGGCATCAGCAGTCAAAGCCCTACAAAATAAAAAATAGTTAGGAAAGTAAAAAGAAGCAACCAAATCGGTTCAGTAGTTCCCGAGAAAATCTTGGCACAGACAGACAGACCAATGGCTAAAAATGTGTTTTTTTGACTCAGGAGACTCTGAAACGTATAGATCTGTCAAAAACTGCCTATTAGAAAATTGACCCGATTGCAATACTTTCCTTACCTAGTATAGGTAGGACTTCAATGTATTAATGTTCTTCTAGTTTTGTTTATTATTTAACAACCTCTTATTTATTTTGAAAGTATCCCAATAGTATTAAAGTGAGCTTCGAGGTTATTATTTGTAAAATATAAGATACAATATTTGCAAAAAAAAAAAGCTTTCGGACTGAAGTCTCATAAAATTATATCCTGGATCCGCTAGTGGATGGGAGGAACAAAGTATTTTTATTTTAGCAGTCAGTTATTGTTTGGCATGGCTTGTATGGACGGGGTGGCCAAACGGGTTAACGTGTGTGCACTGCACCAGAGTTGCCCGGCAACCTGACATATAAGACAATGATAAAAAATAGTCACGAGTTCCCGGTGCCAATGGACTATTTTAAATCCTCGCCCTCACCTCCTGGCCCCGCAAAACCATATAGGGCCTGGAAGGGGAGGACCCATAAAAAAAAAAAAAGTTGTAGTTTGGTTAGGGTCACTAGTTGTTTGGAATTATAAGAGAGGATCCTCCCAGAGAACTTGAATTGAGTAGAAGAAACTGTCACCATTTTGGCAGAACTTTGGAAAGTGTTTGAAGAAAAATGAGTTCAGTGCCACAGAGACAGAAACAGTGTATATAGAAAAAAAGTTAGCTTACCAATTCATACTTGACTTTATTTAAAATCAAATAGTGTTTAGTGTAGTTAAGTTTAATTTTTCTTGTTGTTAGTTTGACTTTTGATCTGATTGTCAATATCCCACCCCTTGAGATAAAATAATTATAAATTTCAGTTTAAAATGTCATATTTTGTTTTTATCTTATAACCTCTTATTTATCTCTTTTGGAAGTATCATTACAGTATGAAGTGATCATCCAGAAGTTTATATTATTAGCTAAAAAATATAAGAAATATTACAATATATTTTTAAAAAGGATGTAAGGATGTTGTTCAAAGGACTTATATCGGATTAAACAGATCTATTTAATAAATGATGATGATAACTAATTTACACTCCCCTAAAACACCCAAAATATCAGATTATATGCTATTTATTAACATATAATCTAGCTCAGATTGTAGTGGTATTATATAAGTAAGATAAAGGTAATTTTATGCTCACAATAGGGTTTGAAAATAACATATCTTCCTCCAGCTTTTTACTATTTAAAATAAATATATTATACACAGCACTTTGAGGTTTTACCTCATATCCAGGAACTCAATTATGTCAACTATTATTTCATGAATTAAAAAAATATATATAATTAAAGTGAGATTCAGATGAAACAAAACTTCGAATCGCTGATTGTGTAATATTTACTTTAAATAAAAAAAGACAATGAAGAAACATCATATTTAATTTATTATATAAAGGAAATTTATGCATTAATGAAGAAAGTTTAATTGATTTGAAGGTACTACTGACACAACTCAATGTGTCGTCACTCCTATTCTAATTATGAATGGAAAATCTCAGAAACTCCAACTCGATCTGGCATTCTTAACTTTTAATAATTGCTTTTAGATTTATATATTATAGGTATCACAATAAATTTATAAACTGGTGAGTCAGTCAATTAAAAACTTTTAAAAGTCTCAAAAAGTAAAATAAAACAGTGCAAAAAAACTTTTCTATTTACAAGCAATATGGATTTTTTTTTTATAGGGTGTACTATTCTAGTATTAAATGGGTGAACTTTTCATTCTTAATATTTCTGATTTGAAAATAAGGTTTCTTATAATATGGAACTGATAAACCTAGGAAATTAATTATTTGATAGAAATAAATAATAAAATACCACAGTTCCTGACATCCTTTCAGCCTGTGATAGAACTCCAGCTTTACTCCAAAGCATCAAAAAACTTAGCAAGATGATAATACCACAATACATTTTCCATTTTTCACGCATCATTTCAGATTCATCTTCGACAGGTACTTCAATGATCTGGAAGATAAAAGTAAAAATTGATTGTTACAAAAAAAAAAAAAAAATCAGACTAAATAGTTCATGATTCAGGATTGCAAAAATAATTATGCAATCATTGAATGTATTTAAAGCTAGATTAAATAAACATAAATTTAATTGAATGGGAAAAAAATGCAAAATATTAACTAAAACCTGCTCATAGTTCTAGGTGCACAAGCATTTTTGTATTTACTATGCCATTTTCAAGTTCAAGTCCACAAGATGATGTTGACTATGAATCAGTAAAAAATTGAAGACATATTTTTGACAATAAAAAATGTAAAATTCACAACCAGTAAATTGCCTAAACATTTTATATAATTAACTAAATTCATGACTTCAAACCGAATAAGTAATGTATGAAAAACTGAAAATGAATCTAATGAATCTATCGGAAGTCCCAAAGAGCTATGAGGGTTATCAAAATTGAACCAAACCCATAGAAATAGAAATTGCAGGACTCCAATACAAATACATGACAAATTTGATAACAATACAAATACCTTAGTGGATTCTCCAAAGAAAATAAAGACTTACCTTCTAGAAGTACATAAACTCAAACAATAACTAGACGAAGAATTATAAGATGGAAAGGCAAATTTAGTAGACAAATAGAGTCCGACATGTATTTGTTAAGTTTAAGCCAGGAAAAAGGCATGAACTCTTACAACATTTAGTCCTGTTGCTAGAATGAATTAAATTTGGATTAATCTAGCTGTAACAACAAATGATAGATAGGTAACATCTACAATTTAAGATAGTTTAAGGATATTCTTTGATTTTTTTTAATTCAATGTTAATAGAAAGGAAGAAAGAAAAGTATGGTAACAAAATTGATCAGAAGTCATGCGTTAGAAAATTCCTTGAAAATTTCATTGTAAGATCGTTTCAACTTCAAATTTAAATAACATGGCTAATATCGAATCAAGTGGAGAAACCCGTAACTTTCCTTTCAAGGAGATTTAATGTTTCAGATTATTTCAACTAGACCAGATATAGCTTATGCTGTTGTATCTAGATCATTAGAAAAACCTTCAGCAGAGAAATAATTAAGATGAAGAGCACATTCCGAAATCTATAAAGACATCCAAGAATATAAAAATTATATACCGTTACATTAGCGTAATCTTAGGCGTTAATGACCTCAGGATTTTGCGCCTCTAAACCCTGAACAACATTAGCGTAATCCAGATTTGAAGATACAACGAAGCAGATCTGGATGGAGATCGGAGGACAAGAAATCGAATAACATGGAAATATGTGAGCATAAGACATTTTAGAATATGAAATCACTAAGTAATTTGATGAATATTCCCTTTGTGAATCTAACCTACTATTAAGGTAATCATTCTCGAGGCCTAATAGTGTTGTTATTTTGGTGCATTTCTTGAATTTTCGCATCGGTAAATGTGTTTAAAATTCATAAATATATACCTTAAAATTTAGGTACATCAATAGTTTGCAATAAACCAACAATAACTATATATGTACATACAAAAAATATTCAGTATTTAATAGTTGACCGTTGCATTATAAAGGAAGGAGATGGTCCGGGGCTGCGGTCATAAATAGGCTAAATAGTGGTAAAACTATTTTATTGAAAGCCGACGTTTCGACTTGACTTTGCAGGCCTTCTTCAGGGCTAGAACGATCACAATACAAAAAGATAGAGAATTGTGGCAGTTAAATAATATTCAGACAAAATTTATAAACAATGTGAATAAGCTTATTAAAATTATAAAGAGTAAGTACATTAAAATATGACCAAAGTAAGCTAAGTAACAAGATCCTAAACTGAACTAAATAGATGCTAACAATCGTTGTAGTGTAATATATAATAAATGCAAATGTGAATATACTTCTACAGATCAACAAGAGAGATTGAAAGTAGTGTTGCCCAAAAATGGTCTTTGTCTTGCGGTCTCAGTCTCGGTCTTGCACTTTTGCAAGACCAAGACAGCTTTGATTTTCGCCAGACCAAGACCAAGACCGGACCCTCCAAGTCTTGCGCAAGACCAAGATTTACCTGCACGAGTCTTGCGGTCTCGCAGTTAAATAAAACCGAGATTTGTGCGTTATTGAGTATTTGGTTTCCATTTGACTATAAAGTAAGTAGTTAGAACACTGAAATCTATTGTATTGATTATTATAATGTGATATTAATACGGTGTTTCAACATTTTCACCTTACATTAAATCTAGACAGTTTTTTTTTCTTCTTGAATCGTGAATTTGAGCTCAGACCTCCAAAACTTGAACATATTCCAATATTAAGTAAGATAAGATGAAAAAAAGAAATTGGTTTTGGTGTATGAAAAGGATAGCAAAATAGTTTAAAGGACAACGTTAGTTTCTACATGTAAAGGCTAGGAAAATGCAATTTATTTTTGTATTCGGCTCTTCTTTTCTATCATCGGGGTTTAATTAGATTTCCCCATCAGAAAAATGACAGCAATATCACTAGTATATAAAAATAACATAACTGACTACCAAAAAACCACCTACGCCATCTATGATGATAATATTGCTTCAGTTACGATTTATCAAATGATTATGTGGGATTCCCCACAGGTACACCTACTAACTTCGTCCTCTATCTTTTGAATTATATAAACATATGTATTTATGTTTTGAAAGATGGTAGTTTACACAGCAAAGTTGAAATTTATCATCCTAGCTCGAGCATAGTAATAGTTTTTGCGCCAGCCAATATTGAAACCAGAGCTCGATTTTTATGCAGTAAAAAAAGTTTAACAATGCCAAGTGAATATGAAATTAGTTAAAACACTATTTCCTAGAAACTCTAGAAGTTTGCTCCTAGTAGACTAAAAAAGTCAAAGTCAGGATTCTTAAGAAAAAAAATTCTTCTTAAACACAGATCAGACATAATTAGTAATAATTAAAAACACAATGTAAGATATTTATTAACCTTTCAACGACGGTGGACTCGCATATGAGTCGAGAGCCTGTCGGGCTCTCCTCTTGAAATTGCGATGTGCTCAGTGATGCAACTCTATTTTCAAATTATCTCGCGACCTTTCTATGAGACATGAGGTAATTTTCTGTTTGGATATTATGGGAATTTTTTTTATGGCCTCAGCAGCTAACCCTTGCGACCCATACCTGACAGGCTCTGGTCTCCTTTTATACCTGTATTTATACCTTCAACAGATCTATACTGACCTTGAGTTGACAATAAAATGCAAAATCCAATAAGATCTTTTTTGATCTATTCTGCAATTTGGCACTAAAATAGATCTTTTTGCGATTTTGCTCTAAAACTAATCTTCTCCTTTGAGACAGATTGTAATGTTATCAATAAACAAGTTAAAATAAAAAAAATCAAAAAAAAAATCTATTTTGTATTTTGGCATAAAAAAGGTCTATTCTTGTTTCTTCCTTGAGTTGATTATATAACCAATTTACGCTAAACTAAATATCTAATTATATAAATTTAACGAAGGTATCGGCATCGAACCTTTGGGTTCGCTAAGTCTTTTAGTTTTATTATTATTATCATCAATTTAATGAAGAAAAATTGAAATTCCCTTGAAATAGCCAAATATTTGTCTAGAAAGCATTAGCAAGTAACATCCTAGACGAAAGAACAAAACATTTGTGTATTGAGTTAGAGGAAGTGGTTAATTCCCTATTTTGATTCAAGAGTTATCAAATCACCGACAACGTATGTTATTTTATATCCCCATCGCTCGCTGTTGACTTATTTGATCATTTTCCGACAAAGAGCTGGCCTTAAGACCTTTTATCAAAAGGCTGTGCGACAGATGTACTACAGGATTGACTTTGCTGCCATCGCTTTAATGACAAAGGTTACTGACATTAAAAAAAAAATAAGGTTATAGGCTTACGAACCGGAACGGACTGATTTATGAAAATCCTTTTTATTATAAATATATAATTATAAGTCTTATAATTATATATTTCAGAAATATTCTTATTTTTCTGATAAAATAACAAATGTTATTATTTGAATATTTAATTGTATGCTGATATTATTTTATTTTAATTTGTTCTTCATTCAAATAAATTTAATTATTTATTCCACAGTTGTCGATTTCATGTAGTTGAAAATTTTAGTAAATACAATTTTTAAAAATTATACTTTTATTTGAAATATAGTATAAATCCTTTTATCTTACTTAAATTGTGGAATGTTAGTATTCGATTTTGAGATCATTTGAATACATTATTTATTAACATACAAAAAACAATTGGTCATATTTTAATATTATAAAAACTAAATTTAAGCAATGATAATAGTTCAGTATGTGTTCCCTGATTAAAATATTTCTTAGTTTGTAGGCTGGCCAATTCGGCCAGTCTGAGATTGCCGTGGGTCCTCGGAGGGGGCTCAAAAAACATTATTTTATATTTTTCCAGTATCCAAAAAATAATTGTTTAGTTTTTAATTTCCGTAAATTTTAAAGGTCCCTCTGTAATCCTAACATAAATGTTATGTACTTTTTTATTACCATAGAATGATTGGGGGCCTCCTCTCGAGGATTCCGAAGATCATGGTTTTGTATTTATCTGATACTGTTGAAGGATAAATTTACTATATATTTAAATTCCTTGACACCACTTGAAATAAAATAAATGAATCATAAGTAGATATTAAATAGGAAACAGTTCCCTGATAAAGAAATAATAAAATGACATCAGAGATATAGTGGGTGACAGTGTAGTAAAAATATCAAGTATATATATTAAATTAAATTTTCGTATTTTTAGTGAATTCTTGAGAAAATTCAAGAAAAAAAGTTATAAAAAAAAGAATATTGTTTTGGGGAGCTACCTCACCACGTATACACCTATCGGTTTTAAACGGATCTAAACGTTTCTGAGCCTAGTTTTTGAAAGGTCATTATATTTCTGACAAAATTGTTGACAAAAAGATCATCTGAATCGGACCAGTTTTAGCTGTTATAGTATATATTGGTTTTTATACGTTGATTTTAATGGTGGTTCACTAGCATGTTAACATTGCTTTCTTTTTATTTATTGTTACATTCCGCATCTACCCGAGCGGGTCATCAGCGGCGTAACATTGCTTGTTTCATCTAAGGAATCCAACTCAAATGATTTCACGGATCTGTTTTTAGGAAAATGAATCTTTTCAATTTTTTTTCTTTATCTAATATTTTTATCTAATGGATACATTTAAAGTTGTATTTTTTATTTTTATTTTTTAAACATATAGGAAAGTCATTTAAGTGAACACAATAGATTTTTAAATAAAATCATTGGGAACAATATATACATTGTCTTTATTCTACAACTCTTTCATTCCATATAATCGGAGGGATAGAGGAGGGTTATCACTATCTTTCTTTATTCTTAATTTTATTTAGTTGTACTTTACAATGTTTATGTCTATAAAACATCTAATTGTAGTTATTTTGTAAAAACAGAAAGATACTAACTACCTATATGAAATGGTGTTTAAGTGATTCTTGAAGCCCTACTAAATGTAATTAAACGAGCAATAATACATTAAGACATAATTTTTTTATATTTTTTACCATAAAACATGGTTACATTTTACCATTTTGGGGGGGCTTCAGCCCGAAAGCTCCCTTTCCCCCCCGTAAATCCGCCTGTGGCTTTCAATAAAATAGTTTTACCATTATTTAGCCTATTTATGACCGCAACCCCGGACCATCTCCTTCCTTTATACAAAAAATAGTTTAAATTTATATAAACAATTATATCATAATTACGTAATTATATTTTAACTTAGTCGTATTGAAGAGAGAAAAAATAATATGCTCACTTTATTAACTTCTCCTCCATCGTCATATTTCTCCTTCTTCATATCATTATATCTCTCCTCCATCAAAATGTTTGGATCTTGAAACTTAGGTTTAGTAAACTTGCCATCTGGATGAAAAAAAAAAAATCGATAGCATATATTTGCATGTTTGACAAAACTAAACTTCAGTCACGGTGGGAGTCAGGGTTTTCGTCAGAGAGCTTAATTTTACCGTACCTTATTTCACCTCCCACCAACATTCAATATTTTAGATATTGTATCTCGAGCAAAATATAATCATCAGATAATATTAACTCATGTCATTAACTGAATTAAGGTCAAAACAACCAAAAAGTAGAAAAACACATTTTCTTTTTTTTAAGTTAAAAAAATCTTTAAGTTCTGTGGTCCGGGTCACCATGTAAGCTTACTCTTATTAGTTCTGGCCCTGACTTCAGTGATGTAATTAATTCATCAAAGTCTAGTTTATCTAAACTAATTAAACTTAGTCTGACTTGTAAACTGTGATAGAGAGTCAGAATATATTAATAAAGACATAATACACTCCTCTTTCAATTTGGAGGAGATAAAACCTATTATAAGGAATGGCGATAAAATACAGCACTCGGTGTTGAAGAAATCTCATTTGAAATTATAGCTGTGTAAAGAGAAGATTCATATACTACAGCTAGGCAATCAAAATGGAGTGACATGTAGCTTCTCTTGCCTTTGAAAAATATCTATAGTTATTCCGTATAGTCAGTACTTGAAAGCCTTCATTGCTCGAACCATGCCCTGAAGATGACCCACATGTTTGGGTTGAAACGTTGGCACAAATAAAAAAAATTGTATAATGACTCCGTCCTGACTATTTATAACCCATTATAGTTATTCCGATTTCGAAAGATGATAACTTTATTTCCCTATCGACTTTCATCAATATGCCTTTTAGGCTTCGATAGAAAATGGCCAATTCCAGATTAATTATTAATGTAAAATGAAAATTAATCTTCTTTCGTCGTACTAATTCGGATGCAGGAAAGATTGTTCCACAAATTTTTGCATCTTATTGCTACGAAAATGGGAACTGGTACCGGGGGGATGGGTGTGAGATGAAGTGAGGATAAGGCTCTTTTTGTCCCCTCTCCTTATTTTATGAAAGGTAGCCAGAATTTCCACTGATTTTCCGTTATTTGTATGTCGTTTATGACACAGTGAATTGATGAGTAATAAAAATCCTAAGATGAAAGGTGATGAAAAGTGGACTATGAATATGTAAATGGAAAGATACATGTGTATATTAAAAACTATCAGTGGAACGAGGCTTATTTGTACAGATCAGAATATTTCTTTCATCTATATGGTAATTGGAGAGGGGAACACTAAATAAGCGTGACCTTATTTTTTATAAGCTACTATTTAGATATTTGATTTAACTATGAGATTTAAGACACTAGATATATCGAAGGGGCCCTCTGGCATTAATGCACATTCATTAATCATTATTAATCACACCCTGAGCCGGGAAAAACCTGTATAGCATAAAGGACGAGGAAGGGGAGGACATCCAAATCGTCCCTCTCATGAACTAAAGATTTAAACGTCTCCTTAAAATCTTGCCAACTCGCGATATCTCCGGAAAAATTTGGGATGCTAATCTTAGGCAACTGTGGAAGCGAAAAGACATCCCCGTGACCTTACGAGTAGCGGATTTGTTGACATCTGATTTCGTTGAGTCACGATCAATGGTGGTGGTTTTAAGAGCCAATGCCTCGTAGTAAGAGTCGCCCACTTCCTCTTTTAATGTTACATATTTGTCCCTAGAGAGGTTTATTCTTCTCGCGAGAGAATTAATTTCTTTAAAAATAGCCTCAAAACGCTCATCGATACGTGAAACTCGAACCAAAAAAAAAAAAAAAAACTATTTACGCGAGGGATCGGTGGATAGACTCAGCCCTACTGCGGTGGTTGTCTTAATATCACTGGCTAAGTCATCTAATTGATATTCAAGATCGGCCAACTTCGCTTCGTGTTCCTCATTTGAAATTTTTGGAGGTATGGTGAAGAATAAAAATAACGAATATTACCACCAAACAAAAAAGAGAGAGAAAAAATTATAAAACGTGAACGGAACGATTTAAAGAATTTACGAAAACGAGAGATAAATAAAATCCCACCTACAAATTAAAAAAGAGAGAAAAGAAATAATTACACTTAAACGGAGACTTAGAGAGATTACGAAAAACGAGAGACAATAAAAATACACTTTCGCAAAACGTAAAATAATTTCACTCGAAAACAAAATAAAAATGTGAGAAATAAAAAAAAAATTGGAGGACCAAAATAATAGCGCTAATATATCCGGCCCGAATTGGACCAAAATACGTTAGGGGCAGGGGTACTTCAAAATTGAAATTACAAACCTTTCCCCGGTGAGTTTCGTCAAAGGTGGGGAATATTCGAGCAAAATTAAATGGTGGAAAAGAAGGGAAAAATAGTGAAAATGAGACCTGTAAAAGAAGAAAAAAATGCATGCACAAGAAAATATTAAAAAATAGAAATATTCAATAAATCAAAAAATGGAAAATAAAAAATCTCCTTTTAAACGTTTAAAATTTATTATTGTGGAAAAAATATTTAAATTTATACAAAAGTTGAAATAAACAATGATGAAAAGCTACGAGAAAAAATAAAACATAAATATAATATCCAGAGAAAATAAAACCAAATTAAACATTATGAATAAAATATAAATCAAACCAACTTTTTAACAAAACAACTGTTTTATCGCAATATTTGTATCTTAATTCCTAAGACTGGGTATTACTGCCGGGATGGAGCGTATACACAAACGAGATAATACATCGCCAATGAAGCTAAATGTGTAAACAATGTACAATTCTGGGACAATTGTCCCTCAGTTTTTTAGAAAAAAAATTAAAAAGGGGTGATTGGTGAGAGAAATAAAATAAAGATAAAAGCGTATGCGGTGTTAACACCGAGTTTAATCAAAATCGTTAGAGCCGTTTTTGAGGAACTTATAAAAATGTGTTTCAGCGTTGATATAAAGTGGTACTTCCGGTTAGCCGATTTTAAGGGAAAAGTTACTGTCACATCTAAGGCATATACCTATCTTAAATACGTAGTATCAGTTTCTTACCACTTTTCGTTTTTGAACTAGACTACTAACACACACACAGACCATTTTTCGGGACTTCGTTATATGGACTCAAAGTACCTCAAAACGTGTATTTCCGTTGAAAACTCAGATTTGAAAATTTTCACGATCGCAATACTTACTCTTACTATATATTACATATATAGGTAAGTGAAAGTAAAAATCGAAAATTGGTATGAAAATTAAGTATAATTAGATTTCATTACTTGCTTTACGTATTTAGCCATTCCTTGCTTGTGAAAAACCGATACTCTATTCACGAGATAAAAGAGGAAAAGCGAATGAAAATTCCAAAAATTTTCAACAATAATTTTCCATATTCGCCTACATCAATATAGCCGGAGAAGTGTTGGAACTGTGAAAAAGTGAGCATCCATTTACGAGTTTAAAGAGGAAAAGCGAATGAAAATTCGGCAAATTTTCTACACTAATTCTCCATATTCGCCTACATGAATATAGCCGGAAAAGTGTAGGAACGGTGAAGAACCGAGCATCCATTTATGAGTTTAAAGAGGAAAAGCGAATGAAAATTCGGAAAATTTTCTACACTAATTTTCCATATTCGCCTACATCAATATAGCCGGAAAAGTGTTGGAACAGTGAAAAAACGAGCATCCATTTACGAGTTTAAAGAGGAAAAGCGAATGAAAATTCGGAAAATTTTCTACACTAATTCTCCATATTCGCCTACATCAATATAGCCGGAAAAGTGTAGGAACGGTGAAAAACCGAGCATCCATTTATGAGTTTAAAAAGGAAAAGCGAATGAAAATTCGAAAAATTTCTACACTAATTTTCCATATTCGCCTACATCAATATAGCCGGAAAAGTGTTGGAACAGTGAAAAAACGAGCATCCATTTACGAGTTTAAAGAGGAAAAGCGAATGAAAATTCGGAAAATTTTCTACAATAATCCTCCATATTCGCCTACATGCATAGCCGGAAAAGTGTAGGAACGGTGAAAAACCGAGCATCCATTTATGAGTTTAAAGAGGAAAAGCGAATGAAAATTCGGAAAATTTTCTGCAACCTATTCCCATTTCCACTTTTCTCTACATAGCCGAAAAGTGTTGGAACGGTAAACACCTGACACTTCACATTCATGAGATAAAAGATGAAAAGGGACTGAAAATTAGGAAAATGTTAATCGGTAAACCGACGGTATTATCATAGAAATTGGTCACGGAAATTAAAAGAAAATAGAAAATGTTGTATACTAGTTTTTCTTTTAGTCTATTTCTAAACAGAAGAAAATCGTGTGTATTTGATTTTTTGATTACGATTACGCGATTATGATTACGTGATTACGATTACAGTGATTTTGATTACTTGATTATGAATACAGTGAATTCGATTACATGATTACGATTACATTGATTTTGATTACGTGATTACACGATTGTAATCGTAATCAGGTTTATGATTACGATTGTAATCATGTAATCATGTAATCAGGTAATCGTTTCATACTTTTGCTATAATTATAGTGCTACTGTATCAAGTATAAAATTGGTGTGGTCATAAAGTTTTATTTTCAGTTGTAATCATGTAATCATTGATTACGATTTTGCCCATCTCTGCTTTGTATTAACTCATCATTGTTATTCTAAAGAGACTTAGTCCCACAATAAAGTTCAATTTTCTATTCTATTCGAAATCTGACGTGGTCAATAAGTCTAGTTTGATGATATCCTCAGGACATGATGCTCTGTAACGACTTTTATTTCTTCACCCTCGGTGGTTCTTCCATTTTCATCAGTTCTTCTTAACCGTCTTGCCATTTTGAAGCCCGAAAGCCGAAGAGTCAACGAGGCTATTAGGCTGCTAATGTCATAGTCCAAGTTGATGCCGTAGAGGACATACTTCTTGGTCCTCTTGGTACCACCCTTGGGTGCAAATTTGTGAAATAGCACTTCTTGGTCTTGCAGTAGGGTGTCCGTTACTTTGGAATGGTCAGCATCGTCTTCTAGATACAGCCTAGTCTCTAGTGCTAAATTGTTAATGCTATATTTAGTCACATTTATCATCGCCATCATACTCTTGATCGATGGCATATTTTTTAAGAGCAATATTTATATATTGATTAGTTTACTATAAAAATCTGGTGCGCGCAACACCCAACTTCTACTTACCGCATAACTTTGAATAGAATTTATTTTCTGGCCATGTTGGGCTCTTATAAAATTATTGAATTACAATTTTAACTGAGCTAAAGCTAAAAAATCATAAATACTATTAAAATAACAAAAGTTCTATTTATTATATCACCGGTTGATTATGGATTGTACGACTATTATTTATTAAACTGTTATTCTCCATTGCAAAGTTTATTAAAACGGAATTAAGAGCTTTGCATTGTTTGTCATAGACAGGTGAAAAGTTGTCACACTAATTGGAAGTGGATACTGTTGCAATATCACAATTTCCGAATATTCATTTTCAACCTGGATAAGTATTTTTCTTTTTTTCTCCTTTATGTAATAATCAAATTCTTCCAAAAGTTATATTTAGCATTTTTCAGTAACTTCTAACAATGATAAATAGTTATTATTTATAAGATTAAAGGTACTTTACAGGAAGACACGATAATGTTAAGTTTTCACCAAGGGAAAATTCATCAAATTATTCTAAGGCATATTACACATCTAAGGCATATACCTATCTTAAATACATAGTATCAGTTTCTTACCACTTTTCGGTATTGAGCTAGATTATTAACACACACACACACACACGCACGCACGCTCGAACGCATGCACGCACGCACGCCCACACACACACACGTTCAAAAGTGCATTAATAAAAATGACACAGTAGAGAAAAATGAATTAAAAACGAAGTTAAGCTCTCAAACTGCCCTTTTTAATGAAACCAAGTCAGAAGATGTCACTATCATACAGAGCTCACCTATTCAAGATGGTGAACCACTAGGAAGTAATGATAATGAACATTTAGATGGAAGTTATACTAATGAAGAAGTAAAGGAAACAACTGATGAAGAAAAGGATTTTGGGACAATTGTTATTTTAGAAGAATCCATGACCGAAATAATCAATGATATTGAGGCATCCGAAGCTGAGAAAGAAGAAAACATTGATGAAGAAAAAGAAATATTAATTGAAAAGGAAGATGAGTCTAGGTGTGATGACATAAACCCTGATTTTCCAGTAAAAGAAGAGACTGATGTTGACAATATAAGTGAAGATGAAAAAGGAGAATCTTTAACCGACATCACAACTAATGATAGACCTTCTAAGCCGAAGAACAAAGTTATAGACATCAGGGATCTAGAAGAAATTAAAGCTGATAAGGGACCTTACCGGATAAAACAAAAAATTGTCGTTATAGACCCAGGTTAGGAGAATGCTAAAATAAAACTTTTGGAAATTTGTGGCTACAAACTGAGGCTTGTCTTATGGATATAAAATAAAAAATGAATAATTAAAATAAATAATAGTAATAAACAAACTGGTTTAATAATAAATAACAGGGATTACTCCTAAATTCATTTCCATGGTAAATATAAGCTAGTTTCTTTGTTAAATTTTGTATTCACTTTTAATTAGCGGTAATAGAAATTAAATTTTTACCTTAAACTATCCAGTAATTTTCTTGTACGTATAAAACCGTTTATTCTGTATATATTAGTATGTATCGAGACTTTGTAAATATTGTGTATTTTGTACATAAACATTTAAATATTTTCTTTTTTTCGCCGATACATCAGTGCAATTAGGAATGATTTTTAAGTATGCACATTAAAAATTCAAATAATCATTACACAAAAAAGTTCATTTCATCACGGCCATTTTTCTTAAATTTTGATGTTCTCACTCGAACACAAAATTTAAAAGTTAAACGGTAGGGATATGTAGTAGACATCCCCCTGTATTTACTCCTTTAGATGACATTGTGTGAGGGAATGAGAAGGTATATATAATATATAGGAATGTGAGCTAGCACTGTGAATTGTACTGAATTGTGCAGTGGACAAATTGCTCATTGGAATATCTTACATCGATAAAGAATCGAAAAGAAGAAAAGGTCCGATTAGGTAGCTGGCAACAGATGGCGAGGACGACGCCAAACACTTAAGGCCTGGACACCAACACAAGAAGACGTCATCTGGGAAGAGAGGCTTACTACATTGAAGACCAAGATTATCAAGCGGACCGTTCACTCATATATATTCATTTATTATCAGTTGTCAAAATAAATTGTTTTATTATACCGGAGTGAATAGTCCTTTTATTTAGTTGTCCTATAGGCCTCACCATTGAAGAATAAACCAGGTGAGTCAATTCATTCAAAGTGTATTTACTCAGTCCCACATAATATATATATGTGTGTGTTCTTATTGTTTCTTTTCCTCACTCAGTGTCACAAAGGTATTAGATTCCCAACAACAGTTAAACATCCTCAAAAGTCGATATCCAGTGCCGCGGTTTTGTTTTCAAGATTTACGAGTGTAAATAACCTGAAACCCCGATATAAAAGCGGAAGGCTATGCGCCTATTCCCGCCAAAACGAATCATTTACATTTAACTTCCTGTAGGTTATTTACATAATATATATATATAGAGTAATATTATTTTCTATATATATATAATCTAATCGCCTGTCCTGTTCAATTTGGCATTAGAACATGCCATTAGGAAGGTAATGCGAACCGAGAAAGGATTGGATCTGGGCGGGACAACATCCGTGCTGGGCTATGCTGATGATCTGGTACTGTTAAGCGAAGACGTTGAAACTATAAAACCAAATACGACAACGTTAATGAAAGCCGGGAAAGAACTAGGACTGGAAATAAACGTGGATAAAACAAAATATATGGTTAGCTGCAAAAATGGCGATACTACTGATGACATCGATATAGATGGTAATATGTTTGAACAGGTAGATAAATTTAGGTATCTAGGTTCTACGATAACTATAAAAAACGAAATTGAAGAAGAGATTAAGGTTAGACTGAAGGCGGGGAATGCTTGTTATTTTTCTGTGACAAAACTACTTAGTTCGCGCCTCTTGTCCCGAAACTTAAAAATTAGAATCTATAAAACAATTATCTTGCCTACAGTTCTTTATGGATGCGAAACTTGGCCGCTTACATTAAGGGATGAGCAGCGTCTTAAGGTTTTTGAAAATAAAGTATTGCGTAGAATATTCGGACCGAAGAAGGATGAGTTAACCGGAGAGTTCAGACGGTTACACAACGCCGAATTGCGTGAGCTGTATCCGGGTAATATAATTGAGGTAATTTCATCGCGGCGAATCAAATGGGCTTGTAAAGTTGTTGGGCTTAGTAACGAGAGAATTCCTAAAAGGTTAATATTTGCTGTGCCGAATGGTAAGCGTCCGAGGGGTAGACCGAAGCGAAGGTGGGAAGATTGCATTAAAGCCGATCTGAAGGGACTGGGTTTGGACGGCGAACGGTGGAGGGAGGTGTGTAACAAGCTATTGGTGGTGTCGGCATCGGACCTTCGGGTTCGCTAAGCCTTATTATTATTATTATTATTATTATTATTATTATTATTATATATATAATCTAATATTATAATATAGAGTATATATCATTCAATCTACTTAAAAAAAATAGATAATAAAAATGTATATATATATAAGTTAAGGTACGGAGCGGGACAGTATTAGCGTTAATACCAAATGCAGTGATGTAAACAATCTCAGAAGGTGTTTATAGAGGATTAGAAGGAGAAATAAACCAGTCTTGATTTCGTCTTCATGTGTGTTATTTCTTAACCCTAGTACTTTTTTTTGAGTGTTTCAAGCTCGCTACGCTTAACTAGTGCTGAAACCCGGGACGATAATAGAGGTACGTTTTTTTTTCTCAATAAGTGAAAACTTTTACGAGGATGCCTGAATTCGACCTGAGGCAGCCGGCTCCTATGAATGTGCCAGAGATCCCTCCGTTACCACAGGGAACTTTAGCCGCAGCGCATGCGAACGCGATTGAGTGGATGAAGATCAGGGTAGCTACTTCACAGGACCTGAGGAAGTCTATATCCGATCTTGAGCGCTTCACTGGAGAGACAGGTGAGCTGAACCACTTTTTAAAAGGGGGAGATTGGATCGTGACGAGGATTAATGCTAAGATAGACGAGAATCTCGTCAATGTCGAAGACGCGGAGGCCCTTAAGGCAGCACTTGTGTGCAGGGTTAAGCGGAGTATACTGAACCAGATTCAGGCCGATGAAGAGACGCCGTGGGAGACGGTCAAGCAGCGACTGAAGAAAGCCTATGGAGGCGGCAGATGGACGACCGAGGAGGACATCTTCCAGATGTTCCGCGAGGTGAGGTCTTCACGACAGTCTAATGGGCAGTATGCGGCGACGCTCATAGCGCATTATAATCGTATTACAGAAAAAATGCGGGAAATAGCAGGCGCTCCGGAGGTGGAAGCAAAAATGGCCTTTTTGTCCACAATATTAAAGGTCCAACTGGCGAAGGAAACCGGGAAGAAGGACGGTTTACCCCGGGAAAGAACATTTATTGAGTGCGCTCAAGAGATGGTAGACTCCAGCGCCCGAGAGGAAGAAAACCGGCTAGAGGTGGAGGAGTCAGGCTGGAATCGGATCAGCTATAGGAGGCCTAGGAGTACACCGGTGACCTGGAGAAGGAGAGAGTCCGCATACAAGGGAAGAGAGAAGCACATGGCAGCGGAGCGAAGACCAGGGCAGAATAGAGCGAGGGCTAGCCAACGGAAGGAAGACAGAAAATGTCACGGCTGTGGGAAGAGCGGAAACTTGGTGGCACAGTGTCCCCGCACGAAATGCTTCGAGTGCGGGACGGAAGGACACATTGCGAGGCAGTGTCCGTATTTATTCGAGAAGGGACAGGGAGCCGCAACGAGCAGAGCCGATGGAGGTGAATGCGCAAGGTCTGAGGAGGAGAAGGGTGCAGTCCAGAAGACGTGACTCATCGACGGAGGCTTCAGAAGAATCTGCAACCACCGAGACCGAGGAAGAACCAGAGGACCCAGTAAGCCGGGAAAACAAGAGGAGCGGAGAAGGGAGGAGAGGCAGTGGAAGAAGCGGACGGCGGCCAGCAGTAGAGAGGATCTGAGGAGAGTGTCAGGCGAGAGGTGACCGCACGCTAGTCAATTATAGCATTCGAGAGAAAAGCTGCTGGTTACCAATAATAGAGGCGAGAGGAGTGATGTGCCTGGTAGACACCGGGAGCTCCAACACCATTATGACGCGTGGAGTGTTGGAGAAGCTGTACGGCGGAGAGAGGACACTCCAAATCAAGGTATGTAGTTGTAAGTTAACCACCCTGGGTGGCCCGTGTGGAGTGGAAGGGGAAGTGGAGATAGGATTGAGGGGATGGGCGGCCAGGGGAGGTAAACTTACGGTGCATGTGGTGGGAGAAATGCCCCGGGAATATCAGGCAATTATAGGTTGTGACATGCTGGGAAAGATGGGCGTGCGAATCTCGAATAGAAGAAGGGAGTGGAGAATAAAAATAGGGAATGTGAACTATACGAGCAGGGCAGCAATAAAGTATGAGGTCGATAGGGCGCGTATAGGAGCTATAAGTCGAGCCGTGGATTGGAGAGTTACAGTGAGAAGGGAGTTCGAAGACGTTTTCTTTAAGGAGGGGAATAAATTGGGGGTGACAGGTAAAACGGTGCACGAGATCCCTTTAAAGCACGAGAGGATAGTTTACGTGAAAGAGAGGAGATATCCGCAGGCGCTTCGTCAACACATTAGGGAAGAGTTGCAGAGCTTAAAGAACCAGGGCATAATCGTGGATAGCACGTCGCCGTACAACAGTCCGCTGTGGGCAGTGAAGAAGAAAAGAGCACCGGGAGAGAGTAAGGAGAAATACCGAGTCGTGATCGATTACCGCAAATTGAATGAAAATACGGTAGACGAGAAATATCCAATCCCGAAGTTTGAAGACATTTTGGATAGGCTAAGCGGGGCAACGGTGTTTAGCACCTTAGACTTAAAGGCAGGATACCATCAAATTCGAATGCTCCCGAAAGACCAGCCGAAGACGGCATTTACATTCGAGAGAGGGCACTACGAATTTACTAGGATGCCGTTTGGGCTCAAGAATGCCCCTATAACATTCCAGCGGTTGATGGACAAGTTTCTCAGAGGAATTGATGAGGGAGTCTGTCAGATTTACATGGATGATTTGTTGGTGTTTAGCAAAACCGAGGCAGAGCATGTGGAGCACCTACGGAGTGTGTTCGAGAGAGTGAGGCAATTTGGGTTGAAATTGTCAAACGAGAAGTCGGTGCGGGGACAAGACCGCATCAATTTTTTAGGCCACACGATTTCGAGCGAGGGAGTCAAACCAGACGCGCAGAAGGTAGAGGCAATTCGGAAAA